CAGAAAACTATAAAGTACTCATGAAAGAAATTGAGAAAGACACAAAGAAATGGAAAAATGTTCCATGCTCATGGATTGGAAGAACAAATATTATGAAACTGTCTATGGTACCTAAAGCCATCTACACATTTAATGCACTCCTTATCAAAATACCATCGATTTTTTCAAAGAAATGGAAAAAATAATCCCAAAATTTTTATGGAACCTGAAAAGACCCTGAATAACCATAGGAATGTTGAAAAAGAAAGCCAAAGTTAGTGGCATCACAATTCCAGACTCCAAGCTCTATTACAAAGCTGTAATCATCAAGATAGTACAGTACTGGCACTAAAACAGACACATAGATCAATATAACAGAATTGAGAGCCCAGAAATGGACCTTCAACTCTATGGTCAACTAATGATTGACAAAGCAGGAAAGAATGTCCAATGGAAAAAAGACAGTCTCTTCAACAAATGATGTTGGAAAAATTGGACAGCCACATGCAGAAGGATAAAACTGGACCACTTCCTTGCACCACACACAAAAATAGACTCAAAATGGATGAAAGACCTCAATGTGAGGTAGGAATCCATTAAGATCCTTGAGGAGAACACAGGCAGCAACCTCTTTGACCTCAGACACTGCAACTTCTTCCTAGAAACATTGCCAAAGGCAACAGAAGCAAGGGCAAAAATGAACTGCTGGGACTTCATTAATATCAAAAGCTTTTGCACAGCAAAGGAAACAGACAACAAAACCAAAAGACAACTGACAGAATGGGAGAAGATAGTCGCAAATGACATATCAGATAAAGGGCTAGAATCCAAAATCTATAAAGAACTTATCAAACTCAATACCCAAAGAACAAATAATCCAATCAAGAAATGGGCAGAAGACATGAACAGACAGTTCTGCAAAGAAGACATCCAGATGGCCAATAGACACATAAAAAAGTGTTCAACATCACTCGGGATCAGAGAAATACAAATCAAAACCACAATGAGATACCACCTCACACCAGTCAGAATGGCTAAAACTAACAAGTCAGGACACAACAGGTGTTGGTGAGCATGTGGAGAAAGGGGAACCCTCTTACACTGTTGGTGGGAATGCAAGCTGGGGCAGCCACTCTGGGAAACAGCATGGAGGTTCCTCAAAAAGTTGAAAATAGAGCTACCCTACAACCCAGAAATCACACTACTGGGTATTTACCCTAAAGATACAAATGTAGGGATCTGAAAGGGCATGTGCACCCGAATGTTTATAGCAGCAATGTCCACTATGGACATTGCCAAACTATGGAAAGAGTCTAGATATCTATCAACAGATGAATGGATAAAGAAGATGTGGTACAGCTATACAACAATTGGAATATTATGCAGCCATCAAAAGAAATGAAATCTTGCCATTTGCAATGACCTGGATGGAACTAGAGGGTGTTATGCTGAGCGAAATAAGTCAATCAGAGAAAGACAATTATAATACGATCTCTCTGATATGAGGAATTTGAGAGGCAGGGTAGGGGGTCATGGGGGGTAGGGAGGGAAAAGATGAAACAAGATGCGATGGGGAAGGAGACAAACCATAAGAGGCTCTTAATCTCAAGAAACAAATCTAGGGTTGCTGGGCGGTGGGTGGGGGGTAGGGATAGGGTGGCTGGGTTATGGACATTGGGGAGGGTATGTGCTGTGGTGAGTTCT